CTCCCCTCAGGTCTGCCCTCCCTGCCCGCTCTGTGTAGACCTGCCCTCAGCCTGCTGTCGTTTGTGGTTTGACCTGTAGTTGGTGCTGAGCGCCCCCTGACATCACACACGGCCTTGTTCGATGCCGTCTCCTTCCTCTAGAACGTGGACTCCACCAGGGCAGGGACTTTTGTCTGTCTTGCTCACGCTGTATCCTGGCAAAGGAGCCGTGTTGGTGCGGTGGGTAAAGAGCTCGGCTGCAAACCAAAAGGTCGGCGGTTCGAACCCACCAGCTGCCCTTTGGGAGAGAGATGTGGCAGTCTGCTTCCGTAAAGATGACAGCCTTGGAAACCCTATGGGGCAGTTCTACTCTGTCCTATAGGGGCGCTATTAGTCGGAATCGACTCGATGGCAAGGGGCTTGGTTTTTTGGATCCTGGCATCTAGCACAGAGCTCGGCACATGGTAGGTGCTCAGTAAATGCTTGTTGAAGGAATGAATGGAGGTAGACGACTTGGGGTCTAGTCTCAGCCCGGCCACCCACTAACCATGTGAGTTAGGGCTGCTTTCTTCCCTCTGTGACTTAGGGGTGGTGTCAAGTGTAAGGTCAGATGGAGACCCCTAGGTGAGCTGTGTCCTTTGTGCCGTCTGCAAGGCGGGGTGGGGCCCTTGCTGATTCTGCATGTGACCCACAGGCCACCTTCCACTACCGGACGCTGCACAGTGACGAGGAGGGCACCGTGCTGGATGACAGCCGAGCACGCGGCAAACCCATGGAGCTCATCATCGGCAAGAAGTTCAAGCTGCCCGTGTGGGAGACCATCGTGTGCACCATGCGTGAGGGGGAGATCGCCCAGTTCCTCTGTGACGTCAAGGTGCCCGGCCCACACCTACCTGCCGTGTCTGCCTGTCCCACCATGCCCTAGGTCATCCCCAGGCCCCCTGGCTGGGCCACCCCCAGCTCCACACCTGCCTTCCCGCTGGCATCCTGGCCTCTTCTGCTCTCTCCTGTCCATTAGCCAAACTGCAGCCAGGGGATTCACTCGCAAATGATCCATACAACCCCTTGCTTAAAACCTCTGTGGCTCCTTGCCGGCGGGATAGAGCGTAAGTTATAGCTGCTCTAATGGCTCTGCTGGTCTGGCCCCTGCCAGCCTCCCCCTGACCTCCCTGCCTCTCCTTTCCATCCCTTCTTGGCCAAGATCTTCCCTCATACTTCAAGGCCAATTCCTGGGTCACCACCCCCAGGAAGCCCTCCCTGACTGCTGGCGGGAGGCTTGAACCCCTCATCTGGGTCTCCCAGGCCCTCATGCCCTGCATGGCCAGGATTTCGGCCCCTGCCTGGACCTGAGCCACTGCAGGGCAGGGAGCTGGCCTGGTACACCTCTGGCTTCACCCAGAGCCAAGCTCAGGAAAGGCCTGCTGTGTGGATGGCCGACAGCTGAGCAGTCAGCTCGCACACAGATGGTGGGGGAGTGAGAGGACTCAGACGGATTGCCACCCCCACCCCCACACACAGCTGCTACAGAGGAGAGGCCGGCGCCTGGGTCCCCTCCGCCCTTCTTGCCTGCGGGGTGTGAAGTTGCTGCCCTGGACCCAGCTGTGATCTAGCCCTGAGTGGGGTGGGGTGGAGTGGGGAGAAGGAAGAGATATGGGGAAGAGAACTTGGGGGGACCCCAGTAATAGTGAGGAGCCCAGCTTGTGGGCTGTGTCCCAGGGAAGAGGAGGAGGGGGAGGTGAGAATTCAACAGGCCTTTAAGGGCAGAAGAGATGGAAGGGTGGTAGGGAGTGTGTATGTGACGATGAGTGTGTGTGTGAGAATGTGTGTGAGCGTAAGAGTATGTGTGAGTGTGTGTGTGTGAGTGTGTGGTAGGTACTCAGCCTGGTTTGCCATCCAGAGAGCATGACAGAAGCTGGGGGTTTCACTTGGAGAGAGGTTGGGAGGCTGGGGAGTCCTAGGGGCCTCCGCCTGCACTCAGGGAGCCCTGAGTCATTGGCTTCCCCTCTCGGAGCCTCAGAGTCCTTTCTCAGGTGGTGATGGGAGCGGGGCTGGGCCTCTGGGGCTGGTGACCAGCCAGCCTGCGCTGACGGAGCCCGTGCGCCCCCTTGCCCTCCTGCAGCACGTGGTCTTCTATCCACTGGTGGCCAAGAGTCTACGCAACATCGCAGCCGGCAAGGACCCCCTGGAGGGGCAGCGGCACTGCTGTGGCATCGCCCAGATGCACGAGCACAGCTCTCTGGGCCACGCCGACCTGGATGCCCTGCAGCAGAGCCCCCGGCCTCTTATCTTCGACATCGAAATGCTGAAGGTGAGGGCCACCTGACCACCACTGCCCGGCCCTGCCGGCCTGCCCAGGGCGGGGGGATCAGTGGATGAACTGCTGAGGGGCGCAGGTAGAGGCAAGAAGGGCCTGCTTGAGACCCCCGGCCGTCTGTCGGTGCCCCTCCTCCTCCAGCAGGCCCTCCTTCCCACCCTGCGTCCTTTGTTCTCTGCCCCTGTGTGGGCACTGCGATCACGGCCTGGCCATGATCTGAAATCATGTAGGACTATGCGTTTCCCTGCCCGTGTGGCTTGTCTCCCCAGGAAACGTGAGCTCTGTGAGGCCAGGCGTTTTCACCCTCTTGCTCCCTGCTCTGTTCCCCACACCTGGCCCAGTGCCGGGACGTAGGAGATGTTTGTTTTTCAACAAGTGTTGGTTGACTGGTCAACGAAAAGAACAAGTGATTCTGCCTCCAGCGTCTGATGTCTGGGGCCCTGCCGGCTCAGAGGCTGGTGAGTCTGGGGCTGAGAAGCTGACCTGACCCGCGCCCCGGCAGGTGGAGAGCCCCGGCACGTACCAGCAGGACCCGTGGGCCATGACGGATGAGGAGAAGGCCAAGGCAGTCCCAGGCATCCACCAGGAGGGGAACCGGTTGTACCGTGAGGGGCACGTGAAGGAAGCTGCCGCCAAGTACTACGACGCCATCGCCTGCCTCAAGAACCTGCAGATGAAGGTGCTGCCCCGAGGCTGGTGTGGGCAGGTGGAGCAGGGCCGGGGGGCTGCAGGCTCAACCTCTTTCTCCTCCCTGGGCCTGTGCCCCCAGGAACAGCCTGGGTCCCCTGACTGGATCCAGCTGGACCAGCAGATCACCCCGTTGCTGCTCAACTACTCCCAGTGCAAGCTGGTGGCCGAAGAGTATTACGAAGTCCTGGACCACTGTTCCGCGATCCTCAACAAGTATGACGGTGAGTGCTGGGCCGCAGGGTGGGCGGCGGGCGGTCCCGTGAGCTGCCGCCGCGTCCGTCACCACTGGGCGCCGGGCTCAACATCTAGCCTTGACATCCCCCATTCCGAGCTCTCCCAAAAGCCTTACCAAACACCCCCACCTGTGGCATGGGCCCCGTTGTGCCAGTGAGGTCTGAGTGGTATAACAGGGAGGGAGGCTGGCATTCTCAGGCCGGAAGGGGCACGCGGTGGCAGGAGAAGTGCAGCCAGGCAGCTGGCTGGTACTCCACTCACGCTGTTCCCTCCCGCCCGCTGGTACCCCTTGCAGACAATGTCAAGGCCTACTTCAAGCGGGGCAAGGCCCATGCGGCCGTGTGGAATGCCCAGGAGGCCCAGGCTGACTTCGCCAAGGTGCTGGAGCTGGACCCAGCCCTGGAGCCTGTTGTGAGTCGTGAGCTTCGGACCCTGGAGGCACGGATCCGGCAGAAGGACGAGGAGGACAAGGCCCGCTTCCGGGGCATCTTCACCCCCTGACAGGGTCTCCGGCCCTGCCCACCCTGCCAAGTCCAGTGCTGTTGCCACCGGGCCACCTGCCCCTGCTACACCACAGTTCTTCTGTATAAAGGCCTTATTTATCTCTCTCTGGTCTGTTAGGCTGATCCATCAGGAGAGCTGGGGTCATCCCTGGCATGTCCTGGTTCTTGGGTGGCCCTGGGAAGGCAAAGGACTAGGGTTCTAGTCCCAGCTCCCCATTCACCAGCTCTGAGTCTCTGGGCTCTGAGAGAGAAATGAGGACGGTGCTCTCTATTGGAGAGGAGGTGGTTCTAGCTGGTCAGGGTGGGGTACCTTGGGAGCCCCTAGTCTTGAAGGGGAGCTAGAGCTGGCACAAGCCAGGTGGCCGGGCTGGCTGGGGAGCTTCCTTTCGGGAGGGTCAGGGACTCGAGTTGTGTCCTGACGGGCATAGGAGGTGAAGATAGCACTGGGCGAGGGGCAGAAGGGCGGCACTGTGTCTGTGTGATGTGGGGTCTGGGGTCCAGAACTGGGGTGGGGAACTTCAGGGCCGGGTGAGGTTGTCCCAGGAATCATGGGGAGCTGTAGGGGATGTGGAGCAGCAGAGGACAGCCCTGGGGCCAGACAGAGCCAGGAGTCCTGGGCGGGGACGGGGACTTGAGGAAGAAGCGTTGGAGGAGGGGGTGCGCCGGGTGGGGGCTGTGGTGGGGGGGCCACACACGGCAAGGTGTGGGCTGCTCAGGCTGGGGAGAGGGTGCGTTTGGAGGGTGGCCTTGGTATTTCCAGGTCCCCCGTTGGCCTGGGGCCTGAGCCTTATGGCAAGACCAGTGCGGGAGAAGGAAGCGCTTCTGAGGGAGGACGGGGTGGGGGGACCTTGGCCAGCAGGGAGGGTATCAGAGACCCACTCTGGAGGAAGAAGAGCTTTGGGAGGTGGCTGCTGGGCAGGTCTCCGCCGGGACCTTGGGTGGGGTGCAGAGAAGAGGAGGGGCCGGTGTCTGAGTGAGGTGCTCTCCCAGTGCAGCCCCCACCCCACCTCTGACCGCATTGTCCCCTGGCCTCGGCTCTTTCGGGCAGGGGTTTCAGTGAGACGCCATGTCTGGGTCAAGGGGAGGGTCCAGACAAGGTGATGCTATCCAGGACCCTGAGAGCTTGGAGGCCCAGGCCCCCATCCTGGCCCTGCCTGACCTGCTCTATGACCCTGGGAAGGTCCCTGTCCCGTGTGCTTCCGCGTCCCCATCAAACTGTCAGTTATGCTCGGCTGCCCTGGGATGCCAAGCATGTGGGCATGCTGTGGGATGCAGGTGGGTTTATTTTCATGGACGGACACACACTGGAAAGGCTCTGGGCCCACCCCCACTCCCTTCTCCCTCCCCGGGCTGTGTCCCCCACATGGAAAGGGGGAAACACAGAGGGGCAGACGGATGCAGGGTGTGGGGCTGGTGGGCTGGGTGGGGCCGGCAGGCTAGGCCCCAGCCTCCTGTTCGCAGCCATGTGGGCCCCTCGGGGTGTGAATAAATAACCCATGTCCGGCCAGTGTGGCCTCACTCCTCGCTATCCAGCTTGAGGCTGATGCTGCGGGCCTTGCCCCGTGCCAGGGTGGTGGGCGGTGTCCCTGGGCCCTCGCGCTCTGCCTGGCTGGGGCCTCTGGTGCGAAGCAGCTGGCTCTGTTTGCGCAAGAAGTCCACAGGGGCGCCCACGCCGTAGCTGCTCTTGGCCAAGGCGGCCCGCGGGGGTCCCGTAGGGGCATGAGGGTGGGAACCTGACTCCAACTGGCCCAGGTGGGCCACGTAGCCATCGGAGAGGAACTGCAGGCAGAGGTGGGCAGGCATGAGGGGGTGGCTGGCTTCAGGCCCACGTGCTGCCCCCACCTGCGCTTCCTGGGCTCCGAGGCAGCGTGGGGACTGTCAGCGCTGCCAGGAGGAGCCCCAGGCTGGGAGCCAGGGCACCACTGGTTTACTCCTACCACTGGGCCTTAGTTTCCTCATGTGTAAAATGGGATCTTAGAGGAGAAATAACGACAGCTAACGTTTAGCAAGCTCTTGCTTTGACCTGGAGTCCTGGTGGTGCAGTGGTTAAAGCACTCGGTTGCCAACCAAAAGGTCGATGGTTCGAACCCACTAGCTGCTCTAAGGGGAGAAAGATGTTGCAGTCTGCTTCTGTGAAGACTGCAGTCTTGGAAACCCGATGGGGCAATTCTTCTCTGTCCTATAGGGGCGCTATGAACCAGAATTGACTTGATGGCAATGGTTTGGGTTTGGGTTTTGCTTTGGCCCAGCCCTGCGACATTAACGCCCTCCTGATAAACTGAGGAGGTGCGGCAGGGGCAGCTACCATTTTAGAGAGGAAGCAGCCAGTCCTCATCTCCGGCACACTCTAGTTACCACTGCGGCCTGGCCGGCTCTGACTCCAAGTTCCAAGCTGCTCAGGACCCTAGTTCTACCAGGACCACAGATCCCCTGAGGCCTGAGACACAAAGTGCTGGCCTGCAGCATCTCACAGCCTCGCCCTCGGGTGCTGCTATGGCCTGAGAGCCCTCCCTGCTCCCTGCAGAGCCCCGCTCCCCTCCACGTGGCCCTCACCTGGCACTGCGCCTGCAGCTTCCGCACAGCGCGGCCCACGATGTAGGTCTGGCTAGGGGGCAGGCACAGCGCCGCGTACACGGCCACGTCTTTGGGGGACCCGTAGCCGGCCACAATGTTCAGCTCCACCTGGGACCGGAGAGGCCGGTCAGAGCCCCGGGAAGCGGGGCTCTGAGGCCGGCAGTGGGGTCTGAGGGCTTCCTGGGGTCAGACTTTCTGGGGTGGGGCTAGTAGGACAGAGGCGGGGCCAAAAGGTGCTCAAGTCACTAGGTCCTGGCAGGGCGGGGCCGGTCCAATCTCCCTCCTTGAGACCCAGGGCAAGGGGCCTCTCAGACAGAAGGGTCGGGGCAGGAGACCTGTCAGACCTCAGAGGGACAGGACCCGGTAGCCCTCCCGTCCTACGGGCGGGTCGGGGGCGGGACCCTCCCCGCTGCGCACCTCCTGCACCAGGCTCTGCAGAAACATGGCCTTCTGGCGCAGCGGGTCATGGGTGAGGCCGTCGCAGAAGGAGACGACGCCGTGGGGGAAGTTATGCTGCGACAGCCAGGCGACCACGCGGTGCTTCTGCATGTCGGGCCGACCCGTCACGTACACGATCAGGTAGCCCGCGTCCTGCCAGTGCCTGCGGGCGGGGCGGTGGTCAGCCCCGGGCCAGGCGGGGCCAGCACGCGGGAGCGGGGCGGCTCCTACCTGACCACGTCCACGGCGCCGGCGCGCACCTTGGGGTCGCTGCCCATGATGGAGACGCTGGCGGTGAAGGAGCCATCGATGCTGAAGACCACCGCCTCCGTGCCACGGGCCACCACTGTCAGGCAGCACTCGGCGTACGTGTGGTCGCCCCTGCGGCCCATGGGGAGTGAGCGCGGGGGCGAGGCCCAGTGGAGGCCCGTCCCCAGAGGCCCGCCCCCCGGCTCACCTGACCACCATGCGCACAGGGTAGACGCCGATACCCAGCGCGCGCTCGGGGGGCACCGGGAAGGCCAGGCGGCCTGAGCTGTTGGTGACCTCAGTGCCAAAGTGGATCCACTTGCCGGACAGCGGCTGCGTCATGACGTAGATGTCCACCTGGCGGGGAGGGGCGGGAGGGTCCATGGGGGAGGTGCCCCGTGCACCCCCGACTCAGGAGGGGACAGCGGGGGCGGGCCTGTAGTCGGGGGTGGGCTGGGGTACAACTCGGCCGGACCCGGAGCTATTCCGGGGACAGGAAGGTCCAATGAGGGTGGATCTACGCAGGTAGACCGCAGGGTCCTGACCTTCTCTCCGGTAAGCGTGACTACGTCCAAGGGCCCGTACATGAAACGCCCGTTCAGCACCTGGGGGCGGCCCTCGCACACCACTGTGTCGCTTGCCCGGTGGTTGGAAGTGACGTTCTGGCGGGAGGAGACGGGGTGAGGCCGCGGCCCCGAGAGGATGGGATGCAGGGGAGATGGGGAGGCGGATCCTCATCCAGGGGGCGAGGCCTGGCCCAGAGGGGGCGGGACCGAGGCGCCAAGGGGGCGGAGCCAGAATCCTAGGGGGGCGGGGCTTGGTCCCGACAGGGCAGGGATGCACGCGCGTTTGAGGACCCCGATTTAAGAAGGGGACTATGGTCCCAGGGCGCGAGGTCGTGAGGAAACAGGCAATGCAAGAGAGGGGGTGCCGCGGTCATGAGGAGGGGGATGCTGAGAAGGGGGCGGGGCGCGTACCCGGATCTTGACCTGCGTGCGCTTGCGCTGCCACTTCTCCCTGGGGAAAGCCGGGCTGTAGATGGACGGCTCCTCGCACTCGGCCAGCTGGGGTCGCTCCTTCTCGATCACCTGCGGTGGGACCCGGCGAGGCCACGTGAAGGGGGCCCGGGGCTGCCCCTGCTGCCCCGGCCCACGGCTCCCTCCCCCTCCCGTTCCCATCGCAACTCCTCACCCCGGCCCACCTGGCGCAGGATGAAGGCCACCACGTCGGCCGACTCCCAGTAGCTGGCGTGGAAGAGGTGGGGCAGCGTGACGGTGGGGAAGGCCGTGAGCGCCTCGGGGCAGTACAGTGAGTAGTCAATCCGCTTGGTCCCCCACCAGCGCTCCAGGACTGCACGGCCACGGCGGGCAGTGAGTCAGGGGCCTCCCGCCCCGTGACCCCCCTGCCGGCCCGGGCGCTTTTCCCTCCTTCCCGCCAAACCTGCGCTCTGCCGAGTTCGGGCTCAGTGCTGGGGGAACCAGAGGAAGTGTCCCCCACCCCAGCAGGCTGCACTGCCTAAGCAGGGCTGGCTAACTCACTCTTGACCACCTCACTGGTGGTGCTGGGGGCAGCTGGCTGGGCAGGTGGCTCAGTGCCCAATTCACTGCCCTTCCAGAAGGCACCGCTGGCCGAGGTGGGCGTTGAGGGCACCATCATTTCCAGCTCCTCTAGAAAGAGGCCTGAGTGGGTCTGCAGGGTGTCGGCTGGGGGAGGAGGGGCAGCCTCAGCAGCTCACACTGGCCGGGCCAGGCCTGCCCTCCCATCTTCCCACCCAGCCCCTACACCTCCACCACCCTGCCTATCCTCCCCTTCCTGGCCGGGGCTTGGCTGAGGCTGGACTGCCCCATATCTGGGTGGGGTGAAGCACAGGGAGCAGCCTCCTCTTAGCTCGTCCCGGCAGCCAGCCGCATTCCCATCAGAATGCTGTCACATCCACACAAGCCCATGCCCACCTGTCTCATGGGGCTGGACTTGGACCTGATTGCATGCATACCCGTACACTCCCCACATCAACACATAAACAACACAAGCGCATGTGGAGACATAGTGCACTCCCACACACACACAGCAGCCACACACACAGTGGCATATACTCAGACACTGGCACACCGATGACGCTGTCTCCCCTCTCTAGCTCAGTCACTGCCACAGCACCCTACTCCTGGGCAGAGAATGTCAGAGGTAACTGGGGCTCCAGACCCCCTAGGGGCCAGGGGAGGAGGGCTCCCTGGTCCTGGGAGTGGTTACTGAGAGGTTACTGATGATATGGTAACCTGTAGGTGCTCTCCTTGGTTGGGACGTACCCAGCAGCAGGGACGAGCCATCTCCCAGGGGGAACTTCTGGTAGCGGGGCACAGCCAGTGGGGCGATGGCCTGGAACTTGGGGGCCAGCAAGGGCTCAAGGCGGGAGGCACAGGGGTCAGCCGCGTGGAAGAGGTTGTAGATCTGCTCGCAGGCTGGGCGCATCTGGGCCACTGGATACCCGGAAGAGAAAGGTGGGGAGGGGCTCAGCGGGCATGCTGGGAGGAGGGTGTGTGGGAAGTAGCACCCTGACATACTGTGGCGCTGAGTCAGCATTCCCACCCGGCCCTCCCGGGGTGGCCACTAGGGTCCTGTGTAAAGTCCGGCAGGTCTGCTGGCCAAGGTGTTCTCAGAGCCTGTGATCGGCTGATGTGGTTCAGGACGCAGCATTCCCCAGGCCTGTTGGACCCCTTCTCTGACAGAGCATCGGCCAATGAAGTTCCTCTGGGAAACTTGGCCTTGGCAGTTCCCGTCTCTCTGGGCCTTGGTTTCCCCTCTGCTAGCCAAGCCGTTTAATTTGTACAGTGGGGGATCACAGGTAAGAGGGAAGCTCAGATGAGTTTGGCCGGATGGGGGTTGGGGCACCTGATCAGACACAGGACGAGGAGCGCCCCCCACACCGAGGACTCACCCTCCAAGGCGGGCATCACGGTTTTGCGCAAAGCCAGCACCAGGCCCAGTGGGGAGCCGAAGAGGAAGAAGCCAGAGACCTTGAAGTCAAGGCGGGCAGCGCTGGTGGGGCTGTCGGGCGCCTCGGAGCCAGCAGCAGGGGCGCAGGAGGCTGTGCTGGCCCGCCAGGGTTCCCCAGAGGAGGTGGCTGGGGCGGCCTGCAGGCTGTCCGGGAGGGGTGTGCTTAGCTCGGCTGCCTCTGCTCTCAGCACGAGCATGGTGGGGTGATGGGGCAGGGAGGTCACCTGTTCTGGGAACCCTCGGGCTCAGGGCTGGCCACATCACTGGGGGTGCGCTGGGCAGGCAGGGCTGAGGGTTCTGGGCTGGCCCGGCCCAGCCCTTCCACTCCATCTGCCAAGGGGTCCCGCGCTGGGCCGACCTCGGGGGACAGCAGCTCGTTGTTCTAGATGGAACGGGGGAGAGAAGCATCCTCAGGCCTGGAGACTGTTCAGTTTCTACTTATTTGGAAATAAGAAGGAGAAAGGCTTGGGGGTTGGGCAGAGCAACACTGGGGACGAACAGGACCAGGCAGCAGGCAGAGCTGCCCACAGAGAGGTCACACTCCGGGGCAGAGACCTGGAGACAGCCCCCCACTGACCATGCTCCCTCGGCGGCTGCTGCCCCGGCTCCCCGTGCCCGTATTGGCACTGTGGCAGAGTGCATCGAAGCCCAGGATTCCGCCAACGCCGTCCCCAATCAGCACCACCTGGTGTTGGGGGGGGTGACATCAAGAGGGGACTTGTGGCCAGGCCAGGCCACGCCTGGGGCTGCAGTGGAGGGAGGGCGGGGGCTGCTCCGGGGGCACACTGCCGGCCACATCCCTACACGCTGACCTGCCCGCAGAATCCAGTGCCCTCAGGTGAGCGCAGGAAGGTGGCATAGGCCTGGTTGGTGCGGGCAATGACAGTGGCCACGGCTCCCTGGTAGCGGGAGGATGAGGTGGCCAGCAGCGGCAGGGCGGCCAGTGGGATGTGGTCCTGGGAGCGGGACAGGCTATCGCCATCATGGCTGTAGGGGCTCAGGCTGCAGGAGGAGGGGGACAGGTTGGTGGGGAGCCTCTAGCTGCTCCCCTGCCCTCGGGTCCCCTTGGCCCGCTGAGCAACTCCCTGCCCCATGGGCCTTGGTGGGGAGCTGCAGCACTGGGGAGGCCTCTGCAAAGGAGCCACTGCCTAGCAGCTGAGGTCCAGCAGGTGAGTGACTGGCCCAGGTTGCTCAGGTAGGCCAAGCGCTCAGGTGTCTGGCTTCCCAGCCTCCTCCCCCACTTGCATAGGGCCTCCCTGATCCTAGGAGCCCCTAGATGGCTGTCCTTGCCTTGAGGGCCCTGTGTGTCCCCCGCCCGTCCCCCCCTGGCCAGTACTTGGAGACAAGGGCATAGGCGGCAGCACAGATGGGCGGGCAGGGCACCAGGCGCAGTGCCACATGGCCCAGGGCCTCAGGGAAGTGGATGCGGGTGACGGCCTCAAAGGCCACGCTCAGCGTCTGCACGTCAGCCTGCTTGGAGTTGGCGTCCCCGGGGCCCGAGTCCAGGATGTTGCCGCTGTGCAGGATGAGGAAGAGGGCGTGCACCGCGCAGGCCTCGGCCCCCAGCTCCCCGGTGCTGTCTGTGCCCTGCGGGGTGCAATGGGTGCCACAGGTGTCAGAGTGGATGGCTGGCAGGTGGCAGAACTGCGATGTGGGGGTGAGGGTGGCAACCATGTTGTTTGGTTGCCATTGAGTTGATTTTAACTCATAGCCACCCTATGTGAAAGAGGAGAAACTGCCCCATAGGGTTTCCTAGGCTGTAATCTTTACAGAAGCAGATCGCCAGGTCTTTTTCCTGCGGACCCAAAGGGTGGGTTGAAACTGCCAACCTTTCAGTTAGCAGCCCAGCACTTAACTGTGGTGCCGCCAGGGCCAACCATACTCACCTCCGAATCCCTGGCTGCTCGGGACCCATCCCCAATGCCTTTAGCGGCCTCGGTTCCAGGGTCTGTAGGGCGGGGGAAAGTCAGTGATGGCGGGAGCTGAGGGAGCCCTGGGGCACCCCTGCTCTGGTGTCTGCCTGAGGCCCCCACCCCTTCTCTCTGACCTGCCCCCCACACCTGGTTCTCACAGGTCATTCCACATTGTAAGGTCTTTGCCCCGGTAGGCCCTGCTGTCAGGGGGGCCTCTCCCCACAAAGCCTTGTTTGCTTGGCACACTTCTAATCCTACCCTGACCAATATGGTAGCCACTGGTCACGTCGGAGCCCTGGTGGTGCAGTGGTTAAGCGTTCAGCTGCTAACTGAAAGGCTGGCAGTTCAAATCACCAGCTGCTCCTTGGAAACCCTGTGGGGACAGTTTTACTGTGTCCTATAGGGTCGCTATGAGTCAGAATCGACTTGACGGCAACGGGGTTGAGTTGGTTTTTTTTTTGAAGCCACATGTGGCTATTGAAATTGAAATGAATTAAAATAAAAATTCAGTTCTTCATTTGTACCTGCCATATTTCAGGTGCTCACTAGCCATGTACGGCTCATGGCTACCACACTGGGCAGCACAAATACAGAACATTTCTATCATCACAGAAGTTCCTTTGGATAACGCTGGTCCAGTCCTTCAAAACCTAGCTTAGACATCACCTCCCACATGAAGCCTTTCTGACTCCAGATTAACTCTTCTATCCTTTGTGTTCTGTCTGAACCTTGGATACAGTAGTCCCCCCTTCAGTAGTCCCCCCTTCAGTAGTCCCCCCTTATCCACAGTTTCACGTTCTGTGGTTTCAGTTACCCGGCGGTCAACCGCGATCCAAAAATAGTAGCCTAATGCTATGTCACAGTGCCTAGGTCATTCAGTTCACTTCATCTCACATAACTTTTATCACAGTATATTGTTATAGTTGTTCTATTTTATCATTAGTTATTTTTATAGCTAATTATTATTACTATTACTCTTAACTATGCCTAATTTATAAATTTTATCATAGATATTATGTATAAGAAAAAAACATAGTGTATACAAGGTTCAGTACTATCTGTGGTTTCAGGCATCCTCTGAGCGTCCTGGAATGTGCCCCCCATGCACGGGGGGACTACTGTACACCCATTGTCCATTCATTATTCACTTGTGTATTTAATGAGCACCCTCTCTGGTTGACATTCATCTTGTTGTTGGGTGCTGTCAAGTTGATTGCGACTCAAGTGAAAGAGTAGACCTCAAGCGACAGAGCAGAACTGCCCCACAGGGTTTCCGAGGCTGTCATGTTTATGGAAGCAGACTGCCACATCTTTCTTCCTTGGAGCAGCTGGTGGGTTTGAACTACTGACCTTTTGGTTAGCAGATGAGTGCTTTATCCACGGCACCACTAGGGCTCCTTTACATTCATCTTAGGACCCCATTAAACTTATGACTGAGCTGTTCTCCGAGTCCCCAGTGCCCAGGACAGCCAGCCACGGGATTCTCTGAGATGCAGACCGTCCCTGTCACAGGCCATGGGAAGGACTCAGCCCTCCCACCGTGTACGAAGCTGGCCATGGCCTGACGCGGGGTGCTCACCTGGCGCCCCCTCAGCCTCTGTGGGAGAGGCGAAGGCATCGATGAAGTCATTGGAGTTCCACTTGGTCATCTCCTTGGGGAAGACCTCCTCACTGTCAGAGAAGCCTTCTGAGGGGACAGGGGGCTGTGTCACAGAGAGGGGAGCTGCCCAGGGATGACCCCCACCCACCGCCAGGGCCCTGGTGCTGACCGTGGGCATCAAAGAACTCCTCCTCGGAGCTGTTCTCGGAGTCACGGGCGATGTTCTGCATGCGCCACTCGGATAGGCTCTGGGGAGACACGCCCCCTGCAGGGCCGGCTCAGCCACAGCCTGAGAGCCCAGCCTGCGGGGGGCGCTCCCTCCCGGCCCAGCCCCCAGCCTCACCTCCGTGCTGGGACGAGTAGGAGGAGCGGGAGGACGAGGACCACTGCTTGCCGAAGCTGGCGTCAGGGGAGGCATCGGGGCCAGGAGGCTCCGGCCCGTCGGGGGTGCTGGCGTGGCTGGCCCCAGCCCGGACCTCAGTGCCCGGCTTCCCGGAGGGCTGGGCCTCGGGCTCCTCACTGCCCGAGGTGCACTTGGCCATGCGCTGGGCCAGCATGCGGGCGGTCTCCTCCTCCAGGGCCCGGATGTCAGCCATGCTCAGCTCCGTCCACTCGTCCTGCCAGCACCAGGCCTGGCGGTGGGCTCGCAGCATCACCCGGCGCAGACCTGCAGACACCGAGGCGTCAGAGTGCCCCCCTCCAGGCTTCCAGCTGCCGCAGCCACATCCCAGCCCTCGAGGTTGGGTAATGGCTCCCCTGGGCACGCTGCCTGCCTACAGCCACGAAGTAGGGCAGGGCCAGCACTATCCAGGGGATGGGAGTGGGAACTGGGGCATCTGTCTTCCTGCCCCACCTCCCTCCCTGCCCACTGCCTCTTCTATCCCTGTGGACACCCCAACTCTGAGCACTGACCTCACCCCATCACCCCAGAAGCTGGGACCAATGCTTGTTCTTGCTCTCTTTCAGCTGGCTTCCTGCTGACTTCCTTGAGGCGTTAACAGTTAATGAAATTATTGATGGCTAATGAAGGTGTTAATAGTTAATGGAAGTGTTGGCACTTAATGGAGGTTGTGGCAAAAGATGATACCCATCCTGGGATATTGTCATCTTAAGCAGAGGAATAAAGTTAGAAACCCTTCAGTATCCAAGGAAATAAAGTAATAATGGTCGGGCTATAATTAGTCATGCATCACTTAACGTCCACGATGTGTTCTGTGAAACAGGATGTTGTGTGATTTGGACATTGTGCGAATACCGTATTATTTGCGGGGGCAAATAATCTCTCTACAATATACTGTTCCGTTATACACCTGGCAGCCAAATTGCTTTGTGTACAAGAGACATGAGATACACATGTTGAGTGTGAGAAGCTCTTGCATTCCCTATATCCAGCGATGTCCGCTTACGCCGCTACAACCTGTTCTGAACTCTGTTATAATCTTTTGGGACCACAGATGTCTATGTGGTTGGACATGGCCCAAACGGACGTTACGCGGTGTATGACTGTATGAGAGTCTGGAAGAAAATACATAAACAGTTGCTGTCCAGTCGATTCCAACTCATGGTGACCCCAAGTGTGTCAGAGTAGAACTGTGCTCTATAGTGTTTTCAGTAGCTGACTGTTCAGAAGTAGATCATCAGGCCATTCTTCCAAGGTGCTTTTGGGTAGACTCGAACTGCTAACCTTTTGGTTAGTAGCCAATCACTTAACCATTTGCACCACCCAGGGCCTCCTAGCAGGAAATATATCAGAAATTTATATGTGGTGGTTATATGTGGTGATTTTAATTTTCTTATTTGTGCTTCTCTGTATTTTCCATCTGTAAAAGGGGAATAATGGTAGTCCTTACCTACAGGAGATCTTGCATGTGAAGTGATTCACAAAGACTGGGCATGTTGTGATTGCTTAATCAATATTAGCTCTTAGTATCTCACCTTCATTTCCCAAAGGGACAGTTAAGGTGTGGAGATGGGAAGTGGCTTGCTGCAGGTTCCACGGGGACCAGCAATGGAGCAGAACCCAGGCCCCTGGACTCCCCATCCAGGGATTGGACCTGGAGGTGGGGCAGGGGCTGTGGGGTCATGTTTAAGGGGAGGTGTGGAACAGGAGGTCCTGGGGACCTGGGCCAGAAGATGGGACTCGGAGCTGACAACCCTGAGATTCTGTCTTACTCCACTCATGGAGCGATGGAGTCTTAGGATCTTCATGGAAGAAGCAACATCTCCAAATGCTGGGATGGACCTCGGATCACGTGGCCAGCCTCTTGCCCTCCTGACTACTACCTGCCCCTCCAGGCTAGCTCTCCCGATCCCCAGCCAGGCTGCACTGTTCTCTGGCTCAGCACTTGCCACATCAAATGGGAATGAGGGCTTTTCACGTAGGCGTCCCCCAGCGGATGGGGCGTGCTGGGTGCTCACCGACATCATGGATGAACTGTTCGATCTTGGCCTGCATGCCCCAGTAGCGGAACTCCACCTTGCACAGCTTGTAGGCGCACATGAGGGGCCCCGTTTGGGCCGCCGTCTGCGCCCAGTCATCCGCCAGTGGTCCTCGGCCGGTCTTGGCAGAGCGATACAGCCGGGGGTCCTCCTCTGCTTTGTACTCGCCTGGGGCCACTGCATCCCGCACAATGTCGATGGTGTCTGGGGTGGGGAGGCAGCAAGCACTGAGCCAGTGCTTGGGACTTCTCCAGGGCTGCCCAGCAAAGCAGCGGGTGGCTGGGGATGGGCTCCGGGGTCACCCCCACCCCCGTTAACACCAGGCCTCACCCAGGATGCGCTGCCGTCTCTCAGCCCCACTCAAGTTGAAGACATTTGGCTGCTGCCCCCCATCAGGCAGGTAATAGGTCTCTATTTCAATGGAGAACTTCTCTACGAAGGGGCAGGTGTACCTGGACAGAGTGCAGGGGTGAGGGTCACTACTGTGGCCACCAGGGCCATGCCCCTTGTGGCCACAGGCCCATGCCTGCCCCACTCACTCACCGGGTTCGGGTGTAGGGATAGGCATTCCAGGATTCCTCCTCCACCTGCAGGGCGGCCTTCGGCAGCAGTGCCCGGAACCAGCCTGGGATGTGGGAGCCCACGTGGTACACCTTGTGTGTGTACTGCCCACTACCGCCTGGCCCATCCGTGTAGGGCTGGTTGGCCAGGATCTCCACGCCACTGCCCTCGCCACTCGACTCCTCCCGGCTCTTTTTCTGCAGCCCAGGGCAGAGCAGAACAGGGAGCTCAACCCGGGAATGAAGCCCTTCCCAACTCATCCTGTGGGACCCCCAACTCAGCCTGGCCCCCTTCACAGGTCTGGGGCCCCAGTCCCAGCCCTCTTAACTCCCTGAAACCTGGCCCTGGCCCCCTCAGCTCCCTGGGATCAGGATCACAACAGCCTCTGTCCAGTCCCCTGTGGGGACTGACTCGGTCATTCAGACATTTATTGAGTGCCTATTCCGTGCCAGGCATTGTTCGGGATTATATTGACTGGGATATATCATTGAACAGAACAAAGATCCATGCCCTGGTGGAACTGACATTCGAGTGGAGGGAGAGACACAATATAAAAGCAGATTACATGGTATGTTAAGAGCTCTGGTGGTGCAGCGGTTAAGCGCTTGGCTGCTAAACTGAAAAGTCAGCAGTTTGAACCCACTAGCTGCTTCCGTGGGAGAAAGATAGGGCAGTCTGCTTCTGTGAAGATTAGAGCTTCACTCCTCTGTCCTATAGGGTCGCTATGAGTCAGAATCGACTCGATGGTAACAGGTTTGGTTTATGGTATGTCAGACAGTGATGTATGCTATGGAAGAAAGAAAGCGGGATCAAGAGTTGGGGTTTGCAATTTTAATACGATAGGGAAGACCTGGTTGATAAGAAACATGGCCCAACACTTGAAGGAGGTAAGGGAGGGAGCCATGCAGACGCCTGCAGGTTAGGGGGACCAGGGTGGTACTGAGCACTGGAGAAAGGAGGACGAAGCCCCTGCTAGGCCCTGAGGTGGGAGCGTGTCCGGCCAGCTCAAGTATCAGCAAGAGGCCAGAGGGGGCTGGAATGAAGCATCAAGGTGAGTAATGGGCTCCGCTTCTCTGAACACGTCACCCCGATTCCCTTCCTCTCTCCCTTGGACTCCAATCCCAGCTCCTACCATACCCCTCATAGCTTGAGAACCCCCAGGTCCTTCCCAGTTACATCTCTAGAGCCAGGACTTGGCCCACTCAACTCTCTGAGGCCCATCCAGGTCCTCCTCAGACTCCAGTCCTGCAGTTCTGGGGAACAGACGTCAGCACCTTGGCCTCTCCGAGGCCTGCCCCAGGCCCCTTCCTCTTAGCCCAGACCCCCTCCCTCGCCCTCTGGAGCTCCTACCTGCCCCACCCCCACCCTAC